AAATACACCTTGTCTCTATTGTAATGGTTATTATTTAGACTCAAATGAAGGCTGGGCTGCTTTTTTTGTCTGCGGCCAATGGGCTCACTGCAGTTATGCATGAAGATGAAGATGCAACCTTTACTTGTGAAATTTGTCGACAGAAATAGGTTGTTTTTTGTTAGTACCCCATCTTGCCCCTACGGGTACCCCATCTTACCCGCCGGTGGGGCAAGATGGGGAGATTTGCAATTTTTTCAATATTATTAATTAAAAGCTTTTTTAAGAAACAGATGGCCTTTGTACGCCTTTTTTACGAAAGACTGATTCCCAAAGATGATAATTAAAAATAATAATAAAGTATATATTCGATAATTTTCGTTTTTTTGCGCTTTAAACCTTAAGTACCCCGTCTTGCCCCACTCTCCCCTAGGTATATAAAAGGTAAAAGAAGAACACTCTTTTTCTTTTTTATAAAATAGACGATGTTTCGGTGGTCTGGTTCGCCACCATCATTAGGTCACTTTAATAAACATATTTTTTTTCAAATAATTACAACACAATTAAAAAAAAATTAAACAGAAAATAAAAAACATTTTTTACATAGTTAAAATCAATAAAATAAACATTACGTTAATAAATTAAAAGCACAAATAAACGCAATACAACAAAAAAATATAATATTTAAATTTACAAATTAAAAACATATCAAAACGAGTGATTAGTCAAACTGACTGAGCCGATGATAATATTCGCGTTATATACAGACGATGGGGTCAATGACCCACAATTGAAATATTATGAATTATAACCATTATTTCAATTTATTAAGCGAAGGAAAATAGGAATTACTAAGAAACTGTACATCTTCCTTCTTGTTAATAGTAGAATTATTGCATTTAATGTAAATCATCTCAGAAATTAATAGTTTTTTATAAGAAGTTTCATAATCTAAAATTTCTGCATCGTCAAAATTAAAAGAATGATTATATTCAGTTTGATGTTTGTTCACAACAGATTCGAAGTTTTTGTTTTTATGTTCGCTAATTCTTTTTTTCAAAGTACGTTTTGATTCACTAGTATACGTTGCTTAATTACAATTAAATTTATAAACAATATTATTCCTATCCCACTTTATCGTCAAGTCCTTTCCCAATTTTATTACAGAGTTTAAGCTTTTTTCCACAATAGGAATAGAAAGTAAATTATATTTTTTTTAAATATTAGATAATTGATATTAAATATCATTAAAAGGAATACAGACTTTAGGTAGTTGTTAATAAATACAAAAGACATTGTTAGTTCGTTTTCTATCTATTGTTTTGTAAATTAACAAATGTTTTCGTTATTTAATATTTTTTTGTATAAATTCTAAAGGATAATCGTTGTTTTTCAAAATTATAAAGATTCGTTTAATGTTTTCATTATGAAAGGACTTGTGAGACAATCAGTCAGTTTGACTAATCACTCGTTTTAATATGTTTGTGATTTGTAAATTTAAATATTTTATTTTTTTGTTGTATTGCGTTTATTTATGGTTTTTAATTTATTGACGTGATGTTTATTTTATTGATTTTAACTAGATAAAAATTGTTTTTTGTTTGTTTAATTTTTTAGTTTTCTTTTTAAATTGTGTTGTAATTATTTGAAATTTTTTTTTTATTAAAGTGACCTGATGATGATGGCGAACCAGACCACCGAAACGTAGTTTATTTTATAAAAAAGGGTTTTTCTTTTATCTTTTAAATACGTCTTCCAAAAATTAAAAAAATTAATTTATTAGATTTAAAGTTAAAATATTAATTAGAAATTTAAAATTTTTATCTTTTTCTCAATTTTTCTACATTAATTTTTTGTTATAACAAAAAGCACGTGTTAGGCTTATAAAGGCCCATTTTTCAGCTTTAAAATAAAAAAAAATTATTGAGTTCGAACCAAAAATAACAAAGTTATAAGAAAGTGGATGGAAACTGGCAAACCCATGGTAAGTAATAAGAAGAAATGCTGCAAAAGAAGAGGAATGCTCTGAAATTGAAAACAGTTTTTTTTCTGTATATCATATAATTAAATTTAAAAAATGCTTTTTTCTGCCACTTTTATAAAATAGAGAAAAAGAAACGCAATCAATGGAAAAATTCGATATCAGCTAGTTTGTGAAGTTGAAAATTCTCATATCTGAAGTGGTGGAAACAAAAGCCGACGTTTCAATTAGATCCCTTATTAGTTAGCGATAATAGGCGAATGGTATAGGTATATTCAATATATTCATGAGTCCGGGCTTTCTAGTGCTTAGCGGAGGTTATGTAAGGTTCTCCAGGGTTGTTTGCGTGGGTCCAGCTCTCTTGGTGTATATGTATATGTATATGAAGGGCTGACTAGACACACTCGACAGCCCCACCTACTGCCATGTGCCCCTTTTACCGGGAATAGCTGATGTGCCCTGGTGTATTGGTTTGGGTTCAGATTCCTAGAACCTTGTGCGCATTGACCTGTCGGTCGTTAGGTCGATTGATTTTCCCGCGCAAGTTCGCCAGATAACCGCGTTGAAAGAGGGGCTAGAGGAATATTCTGCGAAAGGGGTTTGGGGCTACTGCTGCTCCTTCTGCTGCTGCTACTGCTTCAGAGTTTGTCGCGCGAAGAGCTTTCCAGCAGTTGCCTGCGGTTCACCGCAACGATCCTCTTGCCACAGCAACGATACCATGTGTGTCAAATGCATTCCCCCCTCTCCTCGCGAACCAACTTCTTGTCACAACTTGCCCCTTATCAATGTTCATTTCAAACGGCGATTCATTTCTCTGCCGAGTCCTTTTATGAAAAAAAAAGGAAAATGTAATAAAATTTCCATCTACAATTTGAAAATTATAGGGGAAACCAGTAATTTTCGACCAAAAAATAAATGATGATTAATGACTCTAGTAACCTATGTCTCTCGTGAGGTTATTTTTACCCCTTTCACTAGGACTAATGACGTTGACACTATTCTGTAATTCTTTTAGTATAACTGGAACTGTTTCTTTCTAAATCTTTATGAATTATTTTGTCAATACATTTTTCTGATTATTTTAGTTATTATTAATATTATTATTATTATTATTTTTTTGCTTAGGGACTTTTGGGAAATCTGCCTACAGATACCTTTTTTTTTTGCTTAGGGACTTTTGGGAAATCTGCCTACAGATACCTTGGATTCCGCACTCCAAGGTTATGTGGGGTTGGTAAAATGAAACAAAAGGAAATATTAAAAAAAAGATAAATAAATAAATGTTATAATAAATTTAATAAACTGGCGACCTACTACCAGCCCGACCCACTAAAATCCGTAACCCTTCTTTTGGAGCCCTTTACATTTTCATGGTAAAAACCATAACAATCATGTTCTAAAGCTTTTTTGGTATAGGTACTTTATAAAATAAATGCAAAAAGTTATGATTTTTATAGATTTACCATGATAATTAGCTAAACATCAGTTTTAAATATGATTTTTTTGAATCATTGCATCAAATTGGAAAAAATTAAAAGTTCAGGGCTGTCGAAATTTCGTCAAAATTTAAAGATTTGAATATTAAAAACCGATATTTTACTATTATAAACCACTTCTCGCATGGATTTGCAATAATATCAAGTAGGTGAAAAGAAAAAACTTCTAACCTCTTTAAAAATTAAAATTAACTAAATAAATAACCTGAAAATTATCTAAAAATTTTTATTATTATTAAATATGAAAAATAAAAAAATTGAATGCAAAAGAAAAAATGATTTCAAATTGTCTTTTCAGAAATTCCTTCGAATTCTTCCTCAAAGAAATTGTTGTCTATGATTCAAGCTTTTATTTGAACTTAAGAACAAGATTCTAGCATCTTTTGTTTTTTATTTATTCAAAATCAAAGATTGTCAAAAACACGCTTTTTCATTTCTGATACTAATTTTCTCAAAAGCTCGACGTGACACTTCAAAATAAATACAACATTATTCTAAAAAGCCCGGACGTTTAAGTTCAATGAAATTAGATGTTCTTTTTTAAAAATAAAACAGAATTTTCGATATTTAAATATTTTCAAATTTTACATAATTTATTAAAAAAAAATCTCAGAGTTCTAATCAAATTGATAAAAAACTGAAAAACTACATCGTTTTTTTTAAATTCGTTCCCCATATTGAATCCGCCATGTTGAATTTTTTAAATCTGGCTACAGATTCGTAACACTTGACAATTTAAAGCAATTCTTTAGTTTACAACTTTTTTCCCTCTTTTTTAACAAATTCCGTATTATCTAAGAGTTAATTTGTTTTCAAAACGTTCGTTTTACCTAAATCTAGTGCAAAATTACTTTTTCTTTTCCGAGAAAAACATTTTAAGAGGTTACGCCATCCTGAACGCGTGAAAATTTGAAGGTATTTCAAACAGAAATTTTACAAACTATTAAAAATACAACTTTTTAATAATTGTATTTTAAAATACATGTATACAATTAATTTTAAAAAAGTTAATATTTTTTGATTTTATTACTTTTATATAGAAGAACAATTTGACAGTTTCAGGTCAATACGAAATATAACACGAATATAACTCTTATTGTAAAGAAAGTAAAATTATTATTATTTTGAAAAGACTATTTTCAAAATACAAAACATAATTCAAAATTACTCTTGTAAAGAAAAATATAATTATTATTATAAAAAAGACTGACAACAGTAAATAAAATCGCCCCATCATCATGTTTGCTATATTCCCGACTATAGCTATATAGTTTTTAAAGTTATTTGAATATTAAAATGATTTCTGAAAGATATGAGAACCCCTATTTTAAGTTTTGATGACAGTTTATATGTAAAGTCACATTGATTTTATTTCCACTTCTCGACAACTAGTTCTACAAGTGCGATAATCAACTTTACAATAGACCTTCATTTAAAATAATTCCAAACTTATAAATTACTTTTATTAAATATTCTCTAAAAGTCATAAACAGCAAATTTTATTATACATTTAAATATTAAAACTCGAGGAAAAATTTACTCACCTTGCCTGCGTGCGTTGAGACCCACACCTCTCGATAAAGACGACTCCAAATTTTCCGATTGTAAAATTTGCCTCGTTTTGCTCAGATAAAGCTGAAAATGCAAAAAAATGCAACAAATTATTCAATTTTATTCGGAAATCAATTATTCTACTTGCAATATTATTTAAACGTTAAAATAATTTATTTATTTAACTTAAAAAACTTTTAAAAAATTTAACAGCATGTGATTGTTAGATATTCAATGTTAATTTTCCGACCATTTTTTTCATAAAATATTAAATAAATTAAGTTAGTTTTTTGTAAATAACTCGAAAATATAATAAGGAAGGGGAGTGAGGTGCAAAGTTTTAATATTTTAAAAATTAATTATTATAGAACACTTTAAAATTGGTAAAAAAGTGAGGTTTAGAGTGACCGACTCAACTGATAATTTTAAAGCTTTCTATGATAATTAATTTTGTAAATATTATAACTTTTGCATCTCACTGCTCTTCCTCATTATATTTTTAAGTCATTTACAAAAAACTAGCCTAGTTTATTTAATATTTGAAGAGAAAAAGGGTAAAAAAATTAACATTGAAGATCTAACAATCACATGCTGTTAAACTTTAAAGAACTATTAGTCAATGTCAAACAGCGAATAATAATTGACCTGCAAATTATTGCGACTTTCTTTTTTTCGTTTTTCAAGAGACCAGCAGTACCTTAATTTTTTTTGACAGAATATTCAGTTAAAAGAGTTCCCAATGAATCCTATTTTTACATAAAAGAATTTTTATTTAAATAAATTTTTAGTTTGCAGAATTCTTATTTAGCAGAATAAGAGATAGGGGAGAGTGGGGCAAGACGGAGTACCGGCCCTATTTAACAAACGAATTCACTAATCGCGATTATATTTTACATAATACTGCACCGAGACGATAGTTTCTTGTTTACAAAACCTAAAAGCCATGAGAACAAATCTTTTATCTGTTTTACTAAAAAAACTGTTTTCGACGATTTTCTTGTCATTTTTTCACTTTTTTTAGGAGGCGTTTATTACTTAATAATAACAGTTAATGAACTGTATAAATTTTTTTCGAACTGTCAAGGTTTACAGAAGAAGGGAAGCATATGTTTTTTTTTCTTTGTTGAATCGTAAATTGTAGTAATTAATCGTTTTATTCGATTTTGTAGGTGCGGGCAAGATGGGGAGTTAAGCAAGATGAGAAGTTAAGAAAACTACTAAAATCAAGACTGAATAAAATAAGAGTGACTAAAAAGAAAAAAGCTTGTCAGGTTAAATCATCAATTAGCGATGGTAAAGTGGAAAATACACCTTGTGTCTATTGTAATGGTTATTATTTAGACTCAAATGAAGGCTGGGCTGCTTTTTTTGTCTGCGGCCAATGGGCTCACTGCAGTTATGCATGAAGATGAAGATGCAACCTTCACTTGTGAAATTTGTCGACAGAAATAGGTTGTTTTTTCACTGCAAAAACAAGTGTCTCATTTTGAGACGTTTTGTCCCATATTTGAAACACATAAGATGTCTTAGTCCACATATTTGAAACAGATATGTGTCTCATTTTAAGACGTTTCAAAGTGTCTTACACATTTAGCAATGCATTTTGAGACACGAAATGTGTTTCGAGTATCCGTCTCACACTAAGAAGTCGTTTTACGTGTCTTATACGCATTGAGTTACCTTTAATGTCTTAAAATGAGACACGAGATGAAATTAAATGTCTCAATATAAAACAGATTTTGTATCTCAATGGTTTAAACACTTAAAGCAACTCATTTTAAGACACGAGTGAGATACCAGTTTTTGCAGTGTTGTTAGTACCCCATCTTGCCCCTACGGGAACCCCATCTTACCCGCCGGTGGGGCAAGATGGGGAGATTTGCAATTTTTTCAATATTATTAATTATAAGCTTTTTTAAGAAACAGATGGCCTTTGTAAGCCTTTTTTACGAAAGACTGATTCCCAAAGATGATAATTAAAAATAATAATAAAGTATATATTCGATAATTTTCGTTTTTTTGCGCTTTAAACCTTAAGTACCCCGTCTTGCCCCACTCTCCCCTATTAAGAAAAAAATTCATAGTAATAATACAAGCAATAAAAAAGCAGTAAATAAAAAAATTTAAGATCAAAAAAAGATTATCTTTCTTTATGAAAAAAATCCGAGATTTGAAAATAGAAAATCTGGAAGATATAGCAACTTGGCGTCGCTTGGCAGAGAGAAAAGCTATCTCTCGACGTCGGAGTGGATAACGGGGCAAACGATTTATTCTAAACCTTTATCCCGGGGCCCCTCGAAATTTATGAAAGAAGACGCCTGTTTAACCGACTCGCTCAGTCATCGTTCACCCCGGTGGTGAAGACACCCCCTCCTCCTTCTTTTCCCTCTCGCTCTCTTTCTCTTTTGCTTCTGTTTCACAGAATCCTTCTCTATCTACACGCGATCCTCATGGCTTCGTCGTCATCGTCTCCCTTGTGCTCGCATGTCAGCCCTTTATTTTATATCGAGGCGAGAGAGCGTCCAAGCCAGTGCAGGTATTAAAGGCGATGGTTCACCCTTGGTGCGTGCTCGGTTTGTCAAACTCCCCATCGAAAACGAGACAGGACTCTCTTATCGTATAAAACACAGTATTGAATCAATCGAAAAGAAAAAAAACGGAAAATGCTACAAAAAACTAAATCCTATCAAATTTTATTGGAAAAATTTATTAACGAAGATTAAATTTATTTAATCTGAGGGGATTTTTTGATTATCAAAAAATGGTTAACTAAAGCTAAAGAAAATATTAGAATTTACCAGGAAAAATCTAAAATAAAATTAGACAAACAGTTTTACCATAACCAGTGTACAGTGGGGCCAAATCGAAACAACACGAACATTAGACCAAAAATGTGAAACATTATCGACTATTATTATACAGTATATTTATTGGTAAAAAATGTATATGCTCTATTTTTTTAATACATAATATTTATTTAAAAAATTAAATCTTAATATATTTAGTTTTAAGAAAGAAGCTATTTATATTCAAGTACTGTCGATTTTTATTTAGAAAATACATACAATAATTAATTTAAACTTAAAATAATTGTCTTTCAGTATCCGATGTACCAAATATAAATGGTTTAACAAAAAATAAATATTTGAAATATTTTATTTAATAAGCAAGTTAAAAACTTGTTATTTGAAAAAACTACTATAAACCTATCTTAATAAACTATTATTAAACATCAGAGACAAGGAAAAGTTCAAAGAAACAATTTTCAGGCAAATTGGTATAATTTTTTAAAAACTTAACCGCCATATTAGATCCGCCATTTTGAATTCTAAAAAACGAATATCATATTCATAATCAGCGACCCCGAAAACCCTCTAGTTACAATTTTCAAGTGAATCCGAAGTGAAACCAGCACGACTTGAACTTGAAAAGCTGCCTCACTAGCTGCATATCTCCGTCATCTTTAAATATTTTTTTTAAATACAGAATTTTTCAAAATTAACATTAATACTAAACATAAATAAAAGCAAAACAGTCTTACTTATATTAGTTTCGTCAAGAAAATTCTCCAAAGAAACGTCTAATTATGCTTATAATAACCTTGCGAGTTAGGATTCAAAAAGTTGCGCACGCAGCAGCATGAAAAGTGGGGATGACCAATAGCAGTAATCTCCCCACTCTTCGGCTGGTGCGCGCGCATTTTTTTTTTCCTACAAAGAAAAAGAAGATAAAAAAGTAGGAACCTTCTTTTACCTTTTTTCTACCTTTGAATCAATTGGATAAAAAAATTCTTTATTACAACTCAAAAGTGTAACAATCAATAATCAAATGAAAGAAAATTGCAGGCGAAAAATCAGGAATAAATAAGTAAACGAAAAGTTCTGAATTCGGCCCAACTGGACTCAAAAAAGACTCGATGATTTACGAGCGAGAATATTGAAATGTAGAGTTTCATTAAAAATAGACGAGCCCGAAGTAGAAAATCATGTTTGTATGATTCGTATAGACAGAAGTCATAAAAAGACCAGCGATCCCCCTTCTTCTTTTTTTTGGAGGGAAATAGAAGAGGCGAAATATGTGAATGTTTGAGAATCTATAAACCCCAGGCTATCGTGTTATATACATTTATGCGTGCATAGGTAAAATTCTCTCGGTCCAGGAGTACAGCATGTGAAGGTTAGAGGGTGGATGGCAAACCAGCCAGAAAGCCAGTCCAATTTCTCAAAGCTGTCCAATCCGTGTCGTATGCAAAATCAATCACGCTCGCCCCCTCTCATGCCTTCGGGAACTTTAGGTCCTTCGATTCTCAAAGCCACCACCACCGGCCCCTTAATCCAGTGAAACTTTCCATTCCTCCTCTCGCACAAGTTTGTCATTTTTCCATTTCATTTGAATACACCTCAGTGGCACAAAAAAAAGGTCACACGTATGTATTCATATCGTATCGAAAATAAAAAGTCAGCTTGGATTCGCCTTGGAAATTCAAATAAGTCGATGAGAAAAGTAATTAATAGTCTCTCAAAGTGTTTTCCCATTTATCGCGTAGAGAACTTTTCGGCACTGTTTTTCACTTGGGGGAAACTGTCTGGTCAAAGGGGTTCTCCCAATCCTTTCTATGTGGGCCACATCAGACTTGCTGATTTTTTTTTGTATTATTTTGTCCAAAGCTAAAAAGACGACAACGGGTACGGACAGAAAAGAGGGCGAGAGAATGAAATGTTTAGCATACGCATTTTGTACATTGAAATCTCGACACGTCCGGCTAACTTTAAATTGAAATTCTCGCTGTTTTCAAACTTCCTCAAAGACATCTTTTACATGAAAAATTTTTTTTTTAATTTTGTTTCCATATCAAGATTCAACCACAAAAGTTAAATTTTCTTTCGTTATAGATTCGAGAATTTCTATCTGGAAATATCAGCCATTACGTTTCTTTTAAACTCTGTCATCCTTAAGAATCGTTCGAAGTCTTCTCTCCTCCAGGGTGAGGTTTTAAGTCCTATGGAGTTTCTCTTGTTTATTAACGATTTGGAAGATCATATTGTCGCAGGTTTATGGACAAGGTAGTCATAGATATATCGTCG